TTATGCCTTGCAGATAAACTCTGAACCTTTTCAATGCGTACACTATTGCTAAAGTTTCCAGCTCGAAGCTGTGATATCTTGATTCTGTCGTGCTTTTGAAAAATAGAACACCGGATGAAATTTCCCACCCTTTTTCTTCTGCAGCAATATTTCTCCGAACCCTATAGCACTTGCGTCGCAGTGTAACTCTGTCGTGTCGTTGGCGTCATAAATTGCCAACAGTGGGGACGCTATTAGTTTCTCTCTAAGGTTGTTAAATGATTCTAACTCTGTACTCCCGAACTGAAACTTATTGTCTTTCTTCGTAAGGTCATGGAGGGGCTTGGCTATGCTTGAAAAATCTTTTATAAATCTTCTGAAGTACGAGCATAAACCTACAAAACTTTGAACCTCTTGGACTTGGGTGGGACTGCAAAGTTTTCGACTGCTTTTATGTGTTCTCGTCTGCTCGAATACCTTCGCCAGTAATAACGTAACCTAGATAAGACACTTTAGGTTGCAGAAACTTACACTTGTCTAACCGTAATTCTAAACTATTCTGTACGATCTTCAAAAGAACTTTCTCCAACACCTCTAAATGGTGCTCTATACTTTGTGTTGCTATCATAATGTCGTCGAGATAAACTATAACCTCTCCGCTTCGGATCATGTCCGCAAAAACTTTGTTAATAAATTTCTGAAACGTTGCAGGTGCATTTTTCAGGCCAAAAGGCATTCTTAAAAATTTGTACTGTCCTAAAGGAGTGGTGAAAGAAGTGTACTTCACTGAATCTTCGTTCATGAACACGTGAAAAACCCGTTCTTTAAATCCAACTTGGTGAATACCTTTTTGTTTGCTAGCCTGTCTAATAAGTCGTCTATAAGTGGTATTGGGTAATTGTCTTTTACTGTAACTTTGTTTAGCTTCCTATAATCGACACACATTCGAAGCTCGCCTGTTTTTTTCTTGACTAACACTATCGGAGACACAAATTCTGACTCGCTTTGTCGTATGTAACCTTTTTCCAAATATTCGTCGATTATTTTCTGTAACTCTATCTTTTCATTGTACGCTAGTCTTCTTGGGGTACAAGCGAACGGTTTATCATTTTCCAGAACGAGTTTCATTTCTTTTCTAACTAGGGGCTTATCAAGCTTCTTCGAGTTCACATAAACCTTCGTGAATATCTCCTGAAAATGTTTCTTTTTTATCGAACTTAACGTTTTCGCCTAGTTTCAGACTTATATCCGCTTCTTCGACTATATCAATTGCCATAATTTCCTTTATCACCTCATTAACATTATTGCCTTCACTGAACTTATCATTGGTCGCGCCTTGGACATTATTCACACCTTCGACGCTACTCAAACCTTTGACATTATGCGCACCTTCGTTACTATTAACAACAACTAACTTGGTATTTTCCTCATCCTCATATATGTTCTCGACATTGTTCTCCGCTTTTTCCGCCTCGTTGTATACATTCACTTCTGTTACCTTATCCATAAAATCTAAGTTTCCGATCTTCAACGTTGCTTCACTTGCTTCTATAAAATCTCTACCTAACAACACTGAGTAGCCAATACATTCATTTGGAACCACCAAGAGTTCGATTAAAACATCTTTATTCAGAGCTTTAATTGTACATTTGAATTTCCCGAGAATATTTAAAACTGATTTATTCAACCCATGGTATGATTCTGTAACTCCTTCTAACTGTACTCCTGCTGGTACCACAACTTCTTTTATCAAAATAACTGGACTGCCCGAGTCCACTAAACATTCTACGAACATATCAACGTTAGCATGTGCCAATACATATAATTTGAAATAACTTACGAAATTATTTTTTGTTTTCTTGTACTCCTTGCAGTCCGTAGCGTAGTGGCCTTTTGCTCCACAAGCGAAGCAGGATCCTGGTTCACGTTTTGCCGCCTTTCTGCATTCTTTGGCGTAGTGGCCGGAGTAGTTACAATTATAGCATCTCAACCGTTGTCTGGTTTGTGGTCTTCTTACCGTCGGGCGTTCCGGCAGCGTAATCGAGCGAAAAGCTTTAACAACTTCGTTGGCTGACGTGAAGTTTTGTCACCTCGCTTGGTTTTGCAGCTATCTATCAGGTATTCCTTCTGTCAGGTAGTCAGCTTACTCTTCGTCGCTTAGGTTAAGATCGTTGCCTAGTATGCATTTCTTGTTAAAGTAGTTGGCAAAACTTTCTTCCGGTACCCAGCATCGTTTCTCGAATTTGCGCCGGCGTTCGAGTTTGTTATCTCCGGACGCAAAAACGGCTTTCATTTCGCAAAGTAACTCGTCTACACTTTTAGGGAACGTTGTTTTTGCATTGTACCATGCCAGGGCAGCACCTTTCAATTCAAGATGGACAGTGACGCCCAACATGGTATCGCTAATTTTGAACATTTCGCGATAGCGCAATATTTGGTTGTACCAAACGTTGAAACCGTCTCCGCCGTCGTAAATTGGAATTATTTCCTTCAGGGTTTCGAAGGGTATATCGTCGCTTTTCCCTTTGCTGTACTTGCCATCGAATTTTATTTTTCTAGTAGCGTCTTCTGAAGCTTGAGGAACTCTATTTTTTTTCTCAAGAGCTCGAGTTTGAGTGCCGCTACTTCGACGCCGCCATTGTTACGGTCGTTTGAATGTTGCATTGCTTCGCCATTATTCATGTCACCGGCGTTTTGTATACGGTTCCAAAAAGTACCGCTGTACACGCGCGCTATGTTATTTCGCACGTATACTACATCCTCGTCGTTGCTACCTCGGTTTCTAACCTCACTTCTTGTACGCCTTTGTACGTTGTTGTTCTCGCCATCGTCAATGTTTGCCCTGCTACTAGCCTCGTTGTTCTCGCCGTTATTCGTTCCATTGTCCTTGCCGTCATCTCGAACATTGTGCACACCATTGTTCTCACCGTTGTTCTGAACAGTGTACGCACCGTTGTCTTCGCCGTAATTTGGATTATTGCGCATAATATTGTCCTCGCCGCAATTCCCAATATTGCGCGCGCCATTATCCTCGACGTTGTTTTTCTGCGTATCACCACTTCGTCCTTTCGCTCCATCGTTGCCCGAAGCACCTTCACCTGGGCACATTCCACGTGCCTCCGCTGACAACTCACTGAGCCTTGCAGCTAACGAAGCCTTAGCGCCACTTGAGTTTATACCGACGGCTGTGCACCAGGCTTTTAGTTGCAGCAGTGAGTACCTCTCGGCGTTGACCACTTCGTTGTCCTTCTGCATTTTCGTTGTTTGCTTTTATTTAAAACTTATATTTTCAAACGTTTTTTTTTCTTAAAAAAAATTCGGTTCTCGCGACCACTTCTGATAAAATGTATCAGGTGGCAGTGGTATAACAAAAGAATACGACCGTCTATCTCGCTGTGCAAAATCGAATGAATTCTTTTTATTTCCAAAATGGCTTATCCCGTTTTGACATTTACCAAATCTTATTCAAGTTAAGGCGTAATTACTTAAACTACTTCTTAAGGTCTAGTTGCATAACTACTATTCTTACGGTCTAGTTACGTAAGTAAAAGCACATGCATATACGTATACCTACTAAAGTGCCCTACGGCTCCTACACCTCCTGTGCGACACACCTTAACCGTCTCCGATAGGGACCAAAATTTATATGTGATATCTTTGAATATATTAGCATAGAGTAGAGTTTGAGGGTTTAGGAAATATAATGTAACGATTTGCTTCCTACATTTAAGGATCACCTTAGGGTACATACATACATATATATGCATGGGCAAATATTAAAAATGTTACATTGATACACAAAACAACTGTGTAACACGCAATTTTGTATACTTTTTTATATCAGCGGATTTGCTATACGTTTCAGAAAATTTTTCCTGTGTTATGACAAAGATTTGTATACTTTTCATCCTTCGCTGAATCCCAAACGTTGCATTTGGAGGCTGCTGCATCTCCAGTTTCTTGAGTCGTATCACCCTCTTTGAAGTCCATGTCATAAAAGCACGTTATAAAGTAGCAATGCCTACAAAGAAGTGCACATAAATAAAAACAATTACATATTTATTAAATATCTTAGGGGAATTTCAAACAGATACTCACTCCTTATTACCGTCGCAGTCAACGCAGTAACCGATGGCACAGCCCACACGTGATGCCTGATCATGCACGAGCACTTTGTGTTGTGTTGAATCATCAGTCTCCCAACTCTTGAACGTGTTAGGCATCAGATCATCGATTTGAATATAATCTGAACCATTCTGCAGAAAGGTATTGATGCCAACTTTTTCGAAACGTGCAGTCCTATGACATTCACTGGGCTTGTCTGGACATAGTGCGGTATGCGTACGTGCCAAGTGGGCCAGTTCATTATCCCAGATGAGGTTACGCATGCGCGTTGCTTTTTTAGTTCCGGCTGTTTTATCACGTAATTGATTGTGATACTCCAAAAATAGTCGCCGAACTTTGAAAGTCAATGGCATGTGGCGATCAAATTTGCCTTGTCCATTCTGGATGTTGGATACATATATATACACATGTACATATGTACATATGCATGTATGTATGTGGATCGTCACCATCGATCGCTAATGGCCCTATTTGCAAGATTTGAAATTGTACAGGATCTAAACCAGTTTTTAAACTTACACATGTATATACATACAAGGTAACGCTTACTAACTGTTCTAAATGCTTATAAATCTCCTAATTTTCAAGATATCGTTTTGAATATAACTGGTGTATCTGAGAGCCAACTAACGTAATATGTACATATCTAAAAAACGAATTTCCGAAAAATTTTAGTATATGGCTTTTTGATGATGGCGATATGTACATACAAACATACAAATGTAAATGCCAGGTTCAGTTATTAAATCCACTGCAGGGGAAGCAATACCGAATCTTAATGTGGATCCGAGTGAAAATTTGCCAAATGCAAACAAGGTATGTATACATATACTCACAATTGCCGATGTATCACACATTAAGTGCTTTCCTTTTGAACACCAATCATCATCGCCGCAAAAGTAGTTATAAGTCTCGATGTCACTGAAAAAATTAAATAAAACTAAGTAAAAGAGTATCGCTTTAATTAGAAAAAACATCGTTCAGCTTTTTATTTATTGACTGTTTTTATCGAATGCAGGAATGTTAACGACTCGGCAAGTTTTTTTTTTATTTTTATTTTTTGTGAAGTTATTTCCATGATTCAATAATTTCCAAGGCATATTCCACAAGGTACAAGCATGATAAAAATATTTAAATAAATAAATATTTAAATAAATAAATATTTGTATCATGGGTACAAGTGAGCTCAATAGTTCTCTACAAGGCGAATTAATATAAGGTGATAGCAGCAGTACAAAAATAAAAATTTACATGTATTTTGTTTTTGCTTTTGCGGCGAGAACTGTCAAAATCTGTACAAGTGTGTGTGGAAATGCAAACAACACAATAAACATTTTTGTAAAATCTCAATTAGAGATGCATTTGAGAATCAGTCATTTTCTCAAATCTAAAACGTTACTTCTCAAATAACCGTTTATAGCGTTCTCAAACTAAAAGGCACATTTTTAATAAGGAGTTTTCCATTATTTCCAAAGGGAGACATATTGAATTCTCACGGATCGAAATGAAATCCAGTTACTCTCATTAAAATATTTGTATAGTGTTACCAATGATGCATGTAAAAGAAACAAACATATTTTATAGATAAATATATATATTTTTTGTTGGATTTATTGCATTTTAAATAGAGCATAAGCCCGTTTACCATACATACACATAAATAAGTTTTTTTTTT